TTCTTCTTCGCAGTTTGCCGCCTAGAGGCGCACCTTGCTGACTGCCGTATGACTCTCACGGGGATATATTTGAGGGCTAGGATAGCCTGGGCTTCACAGAGAAACCTCTATGGCTACCTATAGGGGTATACGAACAGAGCGCGAATCGCCTTGCAGCGGGCAGGCTTCTCCCTCTTCACACTACCACAACCCATTGCTCCTTCAACATCAAGATGTCGTCACTATACTATTAGCCCGCCACGCTCGTCACTTGTGCAACGGAGATGTCCAAGGGTCATAGGGAGTATCAAACTCAAATTTGGTATGCGATTTATTAATTGTTATTTGCTCTTTTGGTATCTCGAGATGCTTTAATGCTCCAAATATCGAGCAGCTGTCGGCTGCCCTCCTTGCCACCTCTTTTTAAACCCCTCATCCCCTATTGGCTTTCTCCAAGTCCATCTAGCAAGGGTAGCCAGCAGAGGTGCCGGCCTTGTCGCTGGCGGTGGTAGCGGGGCAGCCGGCGATGCAGTGCTTGCAATTCTGGCCGCCGTTGCCCCAGGCCTCCTCGGCGCCGGTGCAAGCGCCCTTGCAGCGGCCGGAAACGAAGGAGTTGAACTGGCAGTCGAAGCAGGTGTCGGCTCTCTTGACCAGAGCGTCGCCCTCGGCGGAAGGAGCGGCGATGACGCCGGCGGCGAGGAAGGTGATGGCGGTGAAGATTGCGGAGGCCTTCATTGTGAATGTCGGTGCTTGAGAGTTGATGGAGAGGGGTGATTGCTGGAAGCAGTGCGTGTTAGTGGTTTGATGTCGAAGAAGCAGGCACTTCCATGCCAAGAACTGCCTCGGGAGGACTTACAATATGGTATAGTTTGCTTTGCTTCAAACGTTTAGATGGCACAAAGGCTTGAGTTGCTAGAGTTGCGGAAGAGCCGGATCAGCTAGTCTTATATACTCGACTCCTGGCCAACAGTTCATAATAATTCACTCAAGGCTGTAAACGCGTATTGGTCTCCCTTTGGGAATTTTCGGGGGACGGATCGTGCGACACAGCGAGTCAGATCCGGCGCGCGTCGAAGTTGATGGTTCCCCAGTCTGTAAACTCTATTTTCGAAACTTGCCTATTGAGATCTGCAAAGCTGCCAATTATGGCATTAACTGTGGGTAATTCTCGTACTATAGTCATCAAGTATATTAAGTCACTAAGTCATGAGATCCAAGCTGTTGGGTTCTGCCCTCGGATTCTGTGGGCTTGGTTCTGCGATTGACTGCGCCTGGTTGTTGATGTCAGCGGTTGCCCGGGTCGTCAACGTGATGCGAGCCGAGTCCGGATCTACGGCACTTTTGAAATTTCCGAATCCGGGTGCAAATGACGGTGGACTAATGATACTATTATTTTCATCTACTTCGCAGTCGATCCATTTCAATTGCCAGCGCTGCGCATGGGTCATCTCAGCCATGGCTGACCTGAAACACCGTTAAGTCCGACGCCAGGGGAGCAGAGGTTTGTGTAGCCATAAACTGCGAGACAACTCATCATTGCCCTAGTGCCTAGTCATTGTAGTCTTTGTGGCAATTCGCACTTAAACTCGCAACGTTTGCGGTGCGGTTGGTGGATTCGACTTATGGCTCACGTTTTGTAATATTAATATCCATGATCCCTATTTCAACCCGAACTGAAGCCACGAGATATGTATCCTCCTCCATGGACATACGACAGCGGCGTCCCATGAGCGCTGTGTGATTCTGAAGTGCCCCTCTTCCCTTTGGAAGATGAGAATGAGGCTTTTCTCCCATCTTGACATCAGACCTTTTGGTGGGGTTTAAGCAAAAGGATTGAAATGTCGAAAGCGATTGAGAGGATCGTATTTCGCCTTCAGCAGACGAAGCCTTTCCAACCTCCATGCTTCATGACCATATAATTGCTCAATAGGCTCTAGCCCATTAGCGTAGTTGAGATACACGTTGGTTGGTCGCTCGGGCTGGCCGTTCACCCAGTGATCTTTGATTTCATCCACCCACTCTTGTCCTGCCTCTTGTGCAGCAGGACTGTTAGGAGGGACGAAGACCATGGGGAGCATCAGGTGATGATCGTCGCGGAAGGGATAAGCGGACTCGTCAGGGTTTTTGGCCTGCACAGCTGCGGTGGAATACCCTTCATGAACTATAGTAGTCCTCGCGGCGAGTTCTGAACCAGCGGCAAGTCGCTTTTTGAAGCCCTCAAATATGAGTCGCTCAGAGGTCAGGTTATAAGCTTGTAACCCTACTGCAGCGATGGCTCGCGTAGTGCCCTTTTGGCAGAAGAAGGATTCCTCGTTCATTTGTTGCGCCGCAGATATGGAAGGGTAGGGACTGTCGTCCGACTCGTCATAAGCCGACTCGATCGCGTTGAATGGCGCCAGGTGTTGTTCCGCTTCTTCGGCAGACCCACGGTAGGCGAAAGTCCAGAAGATGACGGGCTCTTCGGTCGTTATCGTTCTATTGACCAGAAAGATTCCAAAGTTAGCCGTCATGTTGACAGGGGTAGACCCATTGTTGTGGAAGAGGTTCAGGGCCTCGAAAACCTCCTCGAGTTTCTCATCCCGCCAGACGTAGTTGTGGTAGTGCCACGTGTCGGGGCCGCGAGGGAATATGTTCAGCTCAAAGCTGGTAACTATGCCAAAACCGTGTCCTGCGCCCTTCAACGCCCAGAACAGATCGCTGTGGCTTGTTTCGCTGACCTTTACGGACTCGCCACTAGCAAGGACAACGTTAAGCTGCATGAAATTGTCGATTATCAAGCCGTGGAGACCTTCATGTCGTCCATGACCCCCTCCGAGGCCGGGACCCATCATACCAACGCAGTCGCATGCTCCAGTAGTAGCAACATACCCGCGATCCCACAGGTACCTGGTGACGTTACCACCGTAAACACCGCCTCCAAACCAGGCGGATGCGCCGTCGGGCTGGATATCAATACTGTGCAAGTTCTCCAGACTGATTTGAATGCCCTTGAAGGTGCTGAGCGATTGACTCCAGCCGTGACCGCGGTTCACAGCCAAGAAGTCGATGCTGTTCTCATTGCAATACTTGACCTAGTAAATCTTTTAGCAATAGCCTGTGGATAGTGGGAGTCGATGCCCGAAGGTGTATAACATACGATGATGGATACATCGGACTCTTCTCCAGGCGCGATAACAACTTGAATTTGTGGCGCCGCAATTGGGTTCCACCTGGCAGTCGCGTTGACATATGAATCATCGTCGGGTCCAAAGATGGTGGAGGTTTTGGACACGCGGCATCCCAGTTCTCGTCGAACCTGCTCGACATCCAACTGGCTCCGCGTGACAGGCGCTTTGGTGAAGTAGTTGGGTATGCTATGGGCGAGAGCGAAATTTTGGAGTAACCCGAGGGCCAACAGGAAGCACAACAGTTCGTTCATGTTGAAAAGTGTGACAGGTTTGACTCGGGGCATTGGGGTAGTGTGAGAAATACCTCAATTGTTTTTCGCGGATGTTTGTCGAATGAGAACAAATCGGGACTGCCTTGGTTATAAGTCGTACAGAAAATGCCCAAGGCTACACTGAGTCTAGGACGCTAGGGAATACGGCCTTGGCCGCTCACCGAGTCTGAGACAAGAACATCCAGTTTCCTATTTAAGCAAGTCGGCCAAGACATTCCAAGAGTTTTCTTGTGAGACGGGAGCAGGCAAATGGTCTTTCCTTTCTTTTTCCCCGTAACCTTCTGCCCAATGAAGTTTCTATCTTGATGCCTATACTTGTAATTTCGGTCCGTAATTGGTGGATTTTGACAGTCTTGAGAAGCAGGCTCTGTAGTTTCACCGAACTTTTAATGTGTATTAACGCATGCATGTCGCATTATTGAACGCCGCGCGTCCGCAAGAGTCCACACAGAGAGCTTGGCGTAAGCACACAAACCACCTCCAACTCAAATGTCGCAGTTCATTGGGCAAGACAACCTACTGATATGCCCCAACATCAAAGTGGTTTTTTGGAACAGAAGTAATCTCAGATTCAACGTATTTGCAGCAAATAATCGTTGGAGCAGGTTGATTTGGAGGAGTTGTATCAGTGCCTTGAGTGATGCATCAGCTCACGTGGTATGGTTAAAGGGCAGTGCGCGGTTTACTTGTCAGACTTCAGACTGGAAAATCACGCTTCCAGCCCATGCCAAATCTTCCAGGGTACCGCTACGGTCTACAGCCTGCAAGTCGCAAGTCGACAAGTGCGACGAGGAGTAACCCACAGCGGCGAGAGGGAAGATCACATGTTAACGACGATGAACCACGAAGGGCTCTCGCTACCGAGTTTCTTGTGATATTTCAATTTTGTCCCCAATCTCTAATTGTAATTGCCAAGCAGAAATTTGGCCTTACGTCGTGACAAAGTTTCTTTAAATGTCGAACAGTCTTACAGATATATGACCTTGACGTTGAGATTCCTTGCCAATTTGCTCAACATTTGATCCAAATGCTTTCGGTTGCTCTTACCCGGAACCAATCTTTTCCGTTGTTATCCAATTCCATTTCAGTGTACGCGCGAACGTCAATTATGCGCAGGCTCCGGTATTGAGACTGACAGTTAGTATTAAGGACGACGCTTAGATTCTCGAGAGAAAGCAAGACTTTCGTAAGTGAAGATTCCCGGTCAAAGTATGAACCAGGAATTATCGGAACAAACTCCAAAGTCTGTAGTGTCCGTCCTACATTTCCAACATCTTGCTGAGATTGTAAGAACTTTGTATCCCCAAGAATGTCGATAGGAAGCAACCATCGAAGATTATTAGTTTTGATATGCTTGAGAACCTTCATGCTAGAAATTGCTCGGGCCATATTCGAATAGTTTGTTTCGTTTCCAACCCACACAAGGGTCTCCAGCGTGCTCTCAAGACCCAGGAAAGCGTTGTCAGGCATCCTGGTGAAGCTGTGATAGTTTGAAAGTAGCTTGAGAGACGGAAGCCTTGATACAATATTCTCTCCGTCAAGTGGAAGAAATCTACAGTCGTTGAAATAAGCTTCTCGAATATTACTTAGGATGGGAAACCCTTGGGTTGAAACCATTCATCGACAGCCGTTCTAGACCGGGTAGCCTTGGAAGAAGTCTGTACAAACTGTCTTCATATAGTTCCATATAGTCGCGAATTTCTAGAGACCTCAGATTGACCAGGTTGTTGAGCAGATCTGGTTTAAAGTATGGGCTAATGGATGTTCGCGTATACCACCAGGTCTGGATGGAAAGATGTTGAATATACGTTTGCACAACATGATGTGAGGTGATCCTTTCGAAGAATCTTGCGACCATTTCATCATCGCCGTGAATGACCGGTGTGCGATAAATCATTGTGCCGCATGCGGCAAAGAGGTGTGAGCTTGTTGCGGTGAGGTTCTGGATGTCTTGATTCCGCCGCTTGAATTCCTTGTAGGCTGGCGGCTCTGTTCCATATTCGGTAGGCTTGTAAGACAGTAGATCCCGACTCCAGTAATTCTCTGTGACAGATTCGGCTGAAATGTACTTCAGCGGCGGGCCGATGTGTGGGAAGTTGGAGTCATCTTGTAGATGCTTGGCGATCTCGATCAAAAGTTCCGTAGGAAGCTTTTCGAAACTGCTCAGATTCGAGTTCCGCTGTGCTGCCTCGGCTGCAGCTTGTCTCGGCATTCTGTCGATGTATGAGAATGTTGTGTGGTGTGCAAGTTTTTGAGGAAGTGCGCATGGAATTGTTGATTTAAAAACGAAAGGCTTTTCACCCAAGCGTAAGGCTTTTGTTTTCTTTCATTAAGGTACCTGTCTGGCGGTCCACGACTATCGGTGTCATGTTTGGACGCATGCGTCACACTGGCAGAGACAAAGTTTTCCCGTCCGTACCTTGATGATATCCGAGCGGAGTTCAGGGCGGTGTTCTGAGCATATGCGCCCAATCAAAAGGTGAGTTGGCATCCTCATCGCGCGCTTCGCAGGCATGACGCATGGTGAAAAGAAAGTAAAAACGAAGAAAGAAAATGAAAAGGTGTGACTGTCGTTGTGAACTCCTACGTTTGCTACTGGTTGAGCACTTTAGCTTCGAAAGAATTTATTTGCATACCTAGACAGAAATTCTTTTTCATTACATGCTGAGAATAAACTGATTTAACTACATTCAACCACCTACATAGTCATCCGCAAATAGCAACTCCACACCTAACCTCCGCAGCCGTTTTTGATAGTCAGTAAGCACCTCTCCTATATCCGTCAAGGGTGACTTTCCTTTCGATATCAGACCTACTGCACGAATGTCCACGATCCGAATTCTGTTAGATTCCGCCTGGCACCGCGCTTCAATCCAGCCCAAGACTGATGCCAATTCCGGGGACGAAGCCCCTCGCCTGCCCCCAACGTACCACGAAGGCATCTTAAACACCGTGTGAAGCTCGAATGCCTCCAAGCTTGGCATAAAGTCATCTCTTTCTGGGCTATCCCTCGTACGCAAGACATAGCTTACGAAATGGTACCAGCAGAGACTGAGACGCTTGACCCTCGTCAGGCGAGACACAGGAATCTCGCCTTCGAGGAAACTGTCCAGACACCTGCGGTCATGCTTGTGCGACCAGCCGAGGAACTCCAGCTGAGGTGCGATGGGATCTAAATGTTGCGACTTGCAATCTTTAACACACCAGGAGGAGTGGAGTGAGTTGTAGGCGGCCAGCGATCGAAGAGCTGGCAGCTTTTTCAAGATCGATTCTGCCTGCGGTCGTTTGTCCCGCCAACTTGAATTCCAGGGCGCGCAGTTGTAAAAGTGCGCCTCGGTGATTCGAGGCAAGAGTGGTAGATGCAGTTCGAGGCCCCTGAAGTGTTTGAATGAAATGCGTTCCAAGGCGGGGAGTTTGGGAAGAAGTCTGCACCACTCCACGACGTGCTTTGGCTCCTTCACCCATGGCTCCAGGGCAACGTCCAGGCTCCTCAACATCTTCAGCTCCAGAGTGTCTGCGTTGATGCGGTTCTTCAATCGAAGCAGCGGGAACCAGTTCCATGATTCGCAACTTGACTGTTCGAACATATCGTACACAACAGTCATTTCGCAAACGAAATCTTGTAGACGGTTCCGTTTGGCAATGTTGGCAAGCAGGCTTCGTACATTCCTATTACCCACAGCGACTGGTGCGCGGTAGCGGCTCACATATAGAGCGAAAAACATGCGTCGGCTCGTGATTGAAAAGTTGATGACATCTCTGCATGGCTTCGGACGTCCTCCTTTGCGCAAATGGGCCAATGTTTTGCGGTCGGCATGTCGTCTATGGTAACCCTTTGTTTCGTCATGGTGGTGACGGTACGAAGCTGGGAAGTGTGGTGCCCATGGGTAATACTGGCATGTCATGCCATCAGTTGATATATAAGTGCGCTCCGGGTCGCTCGCCGGGAAGATTTCTGGTTGGAGGTACTCGGCGATGTTGATCAGTATTTCGCCAGGTAGGTTGTTGAGGTTCGGCGTTGCGACCGCGTCGCTGTCGTGCGACGACGGCCCCTTCCCGCACCAAGTCGGGAGCACGATAAACCGGCGCCAAGGCATCGCGCCTTATTTGCGTACCAGGAAGACACCAACGCGGCTGATGGATATTCAAGGAAGAGCGAAGGTGAGCATCTTGCTATCAACATCAGTAACGAACTGTGAAACACTTACAAGTACGAGGTAACCTAAAAAGAACGAAGACCGACAACAAGGATTTAAATCAAGGGCAAGTTCACGACTCAGGAGTCAGGATATGAGGAAATGTTATGTAGTATGTGCAGTGTGGCCGTCCAGGTAGCAATCCGATGCTCAAAGTTTCCCATAATGATGCCATCGCGCCTTTATTGGTTGCTCCTGCAGCCAGGAGAACTAAATCGGCAAACTGAACGACGTGGAAAATCGCTACTGGAGAAGTTTGAACGCTTTACGATTTTGAAGCTGCAATGATACCCGCCACAACGGCGAAAGCCTCCAGTATTTGCCTGTGCATATCCAGTCTCTTCCAATCGGCAGCCCATCCGCGAACTTCCTCAAGGCTAGCGCCACCGTTGGGACCATCATTTTTCTTGGGGTTGACGATTCGTTCGTGTTCGGCGAGGAGCTTGTCGTTGACGGGAAACACCCTAAACTGGGTGTACGGCGCCACGGACCCCATGAGGACGGCCGCGGCGAGGTTGTAGATAAATGCAGGGCTCTCGGCGCCGTCTAGGAAAAATAAAAATAGCACGAAACTGTCAGCCAAATGGAAAATAATAGTAATACGCTTTTTGGTCTGTGTGTGTGCTGCATTTAGGTTCGTGCCGGCAGCACGGCGAAGAGACAGGGGAGGGGCCGAACCCACCTTTCCAAGCAAGGAAACCGAAAACGGCCGCCGTGCCGGTCACCATTGTGGGGCCGTACTTCCGGCCGAAGTCCCACCCTCGGAACCATAGCTCGGTGATTAGGTCTTTATCTCGGAGTTGCACGATGCTGTGCATGGCGAGTTTGTCGCTGCCATATTGATATCCTGGTATTGTTAGTTGAGACTCGGAGCTTCTCCTCGGGCGTGAAAAAGACGATGGTCGTTGCCCAACATACTAACCTACGAGATGTGCCGCTCCAGCAAGGTTGACCAGTTGGAGCACACGGGTCCAATTGATACCCTCGGCCATGGCGAACGAAGGTTCCGTCTGAAACTGTGGGTCAGATAAGGGTCGTAGAAGTCAGGGTGTGGTTAATGCGCTTGAAAATAGGCAGGCGAGGTGTGCGAAAGTCGTGATCAAACTGCAAGATCAGCTTCATGAACAATTCAGCGATAGTCGTTCATTTTGACTATTAGATCCATCCCACACAGCCCGCGGTCAAACCGTTGACGGCCCCTCATCTTGGTCATCAATTTCGTCACCAGTGCGTTCTGATCCCCAGATATGCAACCTGTGCCGCCATCCCGCCATCCCACCGGCACACCAAGCCCACAGCCCCTAGTAGACGCGGGAGCCGAAATAGCGCGACGGCGAAATCTCTTTTAGCCCCGTCTCTCGGCTAAACAGCAAGGCTTGTCTCAAGTCAGACAAGGCTGTAATGATAAGGCCAGATTGAAGGAAACGCCTGCTGTCACGTGGGGTTCTGTCCAAGCCCAGCCCATCCCCGCGTTTCGGCAGTCGGGCCGCAAAACAAAGGGTCACGATCAGAGCGCGCAGCAAGTTCGAGCGTATTTCACCCGTCTATTCGGTGCTAGCTGGGGCCATAATGGGCGCCCGTTCCTTTTAACGGCTCTAATACAAATGGTTTGATGTTCTCAATGAACTCTCTGTCGCTCTCCGTGTGCTTCATGCACCAGCACCAGATGGCCATTCCCAGGCACCGGTCCCAAGAGAGGAGCGGGAGCAGCGGCTTGTTGTCCATCATCATCACGGCCTTGTCGCACATTTTGCTGATTATCAAAACGTCGTCTTCGCCGTCGTCGAGGAGTTCGGGGTCCGTTGGTATCATGCCGAACCACTGCGCCGCTGGGCCGTCCCACATCATCAGCGGCATCGGCACCTTGACTCTGAGCATGGCTGGCTCTGCGTTTCGGGATATTCGGAGCGCGGGGTATATCGTAATAAAGACTGCTTGAAGGATCAAATGTAGTTTGAATTGAAAAACGGCAAGACTGTCGTCGCAACGCAATTAGCAAAAGCTCTCATGGTTGTAGGCTTTAGAGCTGAAGTAAATGACAACGCCCACTTTCGGTACAAGTTTCTCTCTTCTTATGAAGAGACATGTCCCCAACATCAAATGAACCTCCTCAGAGGAGTGTACTGTATGTGATGCTTTCAACGAGAAGGGGGCTGGAGACATACCGCTGATATGATTCCCGGAAAACCCAAGGATATCCACTATTTCCACATAGCTGCGAAGCTGTATTGATCTTCGACTGGTCGTAGATGCCCGTCGCCTTGAACGTCTCCAGAAGCATTGCGTGCGTCATCATCACGTTCTCCATCGTTTTATCTGCCCGGTACGGCACCAAGATTGTTGATATCAGCATAGCTTGGAAGACTGGTAGCAAATCTACTCGAGGGGACAACATGCCCCTTCTTGATTGTTCTAATAGCTCGAGCTGTAGAGACCTGGTGTTAGCGTACTGCGTAACGGTACTGACTCGGGTCGCATTTAAAGTGGAAACCAATTTGCCCGTACGTTTGTAAAGGCCAACACGCAAAAAGAGAAGTTATCGACACTTACGATTCTGTTGCCTACCTCTACTAAGAGGTGGTCGTGGAACCTGATGGCGAGATCTCGTGACCCCGGTGCCGAGGCAAACCATAGTCCAACGGTGATGACGGCCTGCATCAACAGCTTAGGCTGCATCGTGGACTCGAACGTCTCCCTGTGCAGCATCGGCCACTGGGGGTGGAAGTGGTCAAAGTAGACTCTCTGCAACTGCATCCTCATACCCTCATCCAACATCGATCCTGGTGCAAAGTCGAAGGTATCGGTCATCGTCATCGGTGCCGGTGGCATGATAGTCTGCGTAAGCAAGCCGGTGGGCGACATCCCCGTTGTCAAGGGGTCCGGCATGATGACGGGATTCGAAGGCGCCATGCAGGCAGCCAGCATGCTAGAGCCGGTAGAAGGGGACGATCCCACCGCTCGTCCTGGCGATGGTTGCTTGCCGCGCGGCTGCGGCCACTCGCACGATCTCCCCTTATCGTTGCACGTCGAACAGGAGGGTTGCTGACCATCGCATCTTGTCTTTGTGCGATGGCACGGGACGCAGGCTTGTGCTACGCGTGTTGGCGGGGCAGTCGGGCCGTGGAGAACCATATGCCTACGAAGAGTATCTCTATTATGGTGTTTTCCGCGTGTTAGTCTAGATGTTGTTCGGGTTCGGGTCCGTTTCCGACCAACGCGAGATGGCCTCGGGTGCCGAGCTGGTGCACCACTTTGACACTTTCTCTACAACCACAACCACCACAACAACAACAACAACAACGACAACCAGCAACAACTAGAAGACAATGGTAATTGCATTGACATACCCTCTTGTAAATTTTGTACCACATGATGGGCAGCAAAAAGATGGTGTAGCCGCGTGCTCCTTTTTGTGACGCGTGAGGTGCTCTTTGCGTAGATAGGAGCGGCCGCAGCCGTCATGGTCGCAGGTGAACGGCATTCTGGGCAGCTCCAGCGTACGGAAGGAACAGATCCATCGCACTGGAGAGTTGGTTCCCTATACAGTTGACTAAAGGATGAGTAAAAAAAGGGCCTGGCGGTAGAGAAGGGGCTCGGTGCATAGAATAGCACCGGTGCACTGGTGCGCTGTGCTGTGTGTAGAGATGTTCGGGCAGGACCTTCGCTTGACTCCGAGACCCCCTGGGAAACTGTGGGGCCGGGGCTAAACCTCCCGCGGCAGCTGTACGCGCCAAAGTTCGCTAATGATTGGTCTCCCACTCTCCCGGTGCTTATTAACACGCGCTGACTCAGCGAGTGGGATACCGGTTTTGTGGGTCCAAGTGCGCCGGGGCGGGGGCTCCGGACGCCGAGTCTGCTGTCAATCCGCCGGCGAGCCGGTAGGAGGGCCGTTGAGCACCACGGAGCTTATGAATAGCAGTTTGAAGAGCCCCGGGCACGCCGCCGGTGATATAAGAGTCCACCGGAGGGTTAGATGTCGCGATATGCAGGCGAGAGAGAGAGACAGCTCGAACGCCTTCACTGTAGATAGAGGGAGGGCACACCGACGAGATAGACATCCCGCTGAAGATTTCGCTTTCTGAGACACCAGTTACTCCTCACCTCGCACACACGGCAGAATAATAATGGCTGCCCTTAAAAAGATAGCCGTCATCGGTGTAAGTACATAGTCCCATCCCCCCTCCCCTCACCTTGCTCCCCCTTACCTGCCCCTCCGGGCTCCAGCATTGACCAGTGGCCCGCACGTGGCAACTAAAATAGGGAACGGGCGACCTCGGCCATGTCATCGTCCAGCAGTTGGTTGCCGCCGGCATCTTCGACGTTGCCGTCGTTACCCGAGACTCCCGAGACACACGAGGCAAGATCCCTACGGGCGCCAAGGCCGCTGAAGCCGACTACGAGTCCCTAGAGAGCCTGACCGCAGCCTTTCGAGGCTTCGACGCCGTCGTCTGTACTCTGCCAGGCCATCTGGAAGCCTTACTTCTGCGCATTCTCGACGCCGCCATCGCTGCGGGCGTAAGGCGCTTCATTCCCTCAGAGTTTGGCTCAGATCACCGGCAGCCGGCCGCCCACTCCGTCCCTCTCTCCGCGAGCAAGATCAAGGTGGACAACACACTTCAGAAAGCCGCCGCAGAGGGCCGCATCGAGTACACGTCCATCTTGGGAGGACCATGGATCGAATGGATCATGACTTTTGAGGAGGGCATGAGCATCCCCGAGCGCAAGTTCTTCATCCACGACGGCGGCGACATCCCCTTCGGCCTCACCACGCGAAAGGCATTCGGCGACGCGGTGGCGGGCGCGCTCAGGCACCCCGAAGAGACCAAGAATCAGATCTACACGATCGAGGTCATCAGCCTGACTCAAAACCGCATCCTGCAGCTCGTCAAGGAGGCCCTGCCCGACCTCGAACTTGAGATTGTCCATGTCAACACCAAGGAGCGCTACGAACGAGGCGTCAAGAAGCTTGTTTCGGGCGTCTTTGACATGTCTGTTGTGGGGGACATAGTTTTGAGATTCGTCTTCGACTCGGAGCTACAGCTTACGTCCGACACCAAAGCCGCCAATGAGTTGCTCGGTGTCGAGAGCATCACCGAGTATCAGTTCAAGGAGCTCGTCAGATCCTTGGCCAACTGAAACTGTGGCCGCCAATGGAAAGCAACGTTATGCGCGTTCCTTACGTCGTTAAGCACTGCGAATGTCGGTCAAAACTAGAAAAGAAACGTGTAATAGCGACTAGTATTCATAGAAACCAATTGAGAACGGCTGAAACTCAAAGAGGTCTGTAAAGATCCGACGGGAGGTTCCATGAGCCTGGAAAAATTTGTTAACCCGCGGCACTATTGCCTCAAAGCGGACATAAGTCGTTACGCCAAAAAGCGCCAAGCCAGCGCTACAGCTCTGTCTAAAGGCCTCTAGACCGTTAGTCTGATGCTCTAAAGACCCTCCTAGAGACGGACAATTAGAGTTGCCCACGGCCGCCGGCTATCCACTGGCCCTCCCCTGGTCCGGGATGTGGGCGGCGTCTCCCGAATTGCCGGAATAGGACATGGCACGGTGCCTACGATGAAGCTTAAATGAGTAATGAACTCGTTGGCGCCCATCGAAAGAACGGACGGACGGAACCAACAAAAGGACCAGACGAGAACGAGATGCAGCAAGAGCTTTGACGACCGCCCTGCGCAAATCGCCAATGACGATGGCAAGATCAAGATGAGAAACCCAACGGTCGCGACCAGTCACTCTTTGGGAGCTGATGGCGATTCCCACAGACGGATACGGCCCGACAAGAAAACGAGATGATCATTGATGACGGCACGAGCCCAACGATAGAGGCCCAAACAACCAACTCCCCCCTAACCCGGGGATCAATAACGCCATCGGGTTCATGACCAGAGTTGGCACCAACCCTCATCCAAACTTGGGCCGAAGTTCGAACAAACTCAAGCACGGCAGCAACACTCGACTAGTCAGAAACGCTTCTTGGATTTCTTTTGTTTTGCCGCTTCACGGAGCCGACCACGGGCCCGTTCAGAACCAGTCCTACAGGGCCGCTGGCGAGCCTACGTGGCATGGAAGTTTAAAATAGGAATATCTAGTCGAGGGCAGGCAGCGCAGGTTGGCAAATACCCCGCCACACAAAGTCCCCTCGTGAAACCGTGCGCCCACGGACGCTCAACGGTCTCGTCGGCACCCACGCCGTCTCATTGGTCAGTAACCAGGTTTTAACATGTCTGTTGTAATGTACAAGTTGGGGTGAAAGAGGGTAAAAAAGAGAGGTCTTTGCCCTGGAACATTTTTATATACATTCTATAAGGTAAGCAATACTGTTGGTTATTCGGGGCTTGTTCCGAACCTGCGCTTGCGCTTCCACCTTCCGGGTATCGATAGTCCGGGTCTAGTAGCTGTAGCGGAACTGCTTGTTCTCCTTATCAGTCATCGAGGCCCAGACCTCGGGAGCCATGAAGGCGTCCTCGGACTGCTGCTTGGCCCCGCGTCTCTTGTTCTCCCAGCGGTAGTAGGCGTACAGGGCCAGCGTGACGACGGCGCAGCCCGCCTGGGTGCCCATGACGGCGATCTTGGCCGGGCGGTAGTCGGGGGCGTCGCGGGCCTGGAAGGTCTGCGGGCCGATAATGTTGCCGAGGGAGAAGGATCCGCTGACGATGGCGGCGGCGAAGGCGCGCTTGGTTGCGCCACCAAAGTTGGCGGCGGTCCACTGAAGAATTTTTCACGTTAGACAAACTTCTTCTTTTCTTCATCTGCCGTGTCTCACTCCAAAACTTCGCGTGTGGGGAGAACGAGGAAGGGCTAGGCTACTTACGGCGTAGAACACGGTCAACGGAGCGACGACGGCGTTGACGAGGTAGATGCCCGCGAGGCAGCCGGCACGGTTGCTCACGGGGAGGAAAGACATCAGAGCGCCACCGATGATGCTGGAGCACAAAATTAGCAAGGATTTTCTTATTTCTACCGTTCTGTTCCCTCCTCTCGAACGATGTTGTTTGTGACTTACGCTGGGATGATGCAGGCGACGATCCAGGCCCAGCGGTTCGACTGGTAGCGAATACCGTATCCGACGAGGAGCGTGAAGAAGATGCTCACGACACCGGAGGGCATGTTCATCAGGGCGGCGTGCTTGGAGTCGTAGCCCAGGTTGCGGATAAGAGTGGCAGAGTAGGTGGTGACGACACCGCTAGAGACGGAAAGCTGCGGGCTTGTTAGCGAGACCAGAACTCTGTCAGGGGTTTCGCGGTACGCACGAGGACAACGGCAATGGTCATCAGGTACATCTGAGGGTCCATCAGAGCCTCGAGGATCTGCTTGGGACGGAACTTGCGGCTCTCGATGCCGGTCTGGTTGACGCTGACATGCTTCAGCAGGGCGACCTTCTCGGTGTCGCTCAGCCAGCGGGCCTTCATCGGGGTGTCCGGGACGAAGAAGAAGGTGGTCAGGCCGATGGTCACGGTGACGCATCCGAGGACGACGAACATGATGCGCCAGCCTGCGAGGCCGGCGCCGGGGGCGACGTGCTGGAAGCCGTAGGAGATGGCGCCGCCGAGGATCTGGCCGAGGCCGAGGCCCAGGTACCAGAAAGAGAAGCGCGGGGCCTGCTCGGACTTGGTGTACCACTGCGAGCTGATAAGCATAAGGGACGGGCCGATGGTCGCCTCGAAGATTCCCAGGAAGACGCGCGAGACGAGCAGGGAGGTGTAGTTGTGCGCGGCGGCGCCGCAGGCGGTCGCGGTGCCCCAGAGGATCACGTTGATGCCCAGCCATTTGGCGGCGGGAACCATCTGGAGGAAGTAGACTGCGGGGTGTGGGTGTCAGTGCATCCCTCTTTGCTTTTCCGAAGCCTCTCGTCCACGAGACCAGCGCTTCGCTTTTCTTCTTCCTCAAGCGAGGCCGGGGAGGGCCCAATGGGAAACATACTGTTTGGAATCTCGAAGCACAACAAACCCACGAAGAGGAACGTGGCAATGTTGGAGAAGTCGTTTCCGACCAACTTGAGGTCCTTGTTAAGACCCATCACGGCCGCGTACTGTTGTCACTCATCAGATTACCGTTTTACTCTCAGGAGATACGGCTGGACCGCAGAAGCAAGCGCCCGGGCAGTCCAAGCTGAAGAAGGGGGCGAGACGCACGTTGAGGATGACCTTGTCCAGGAACTGCATCGTGTAGCATCCGAACATGAGGGGCACAATGTGCCAGTCAATCTTGCGGCGGAGCGCATTGATGTCGACCGAGCTGGTGTCGCCGCCGGCCTCTCGGTGGTCGTTGAGGAACTTCCAGGCCCCGTCGACGGAGCCGGAGGACGACGCATCATGGTCGGACGCAGCCGAGCTCACGAGGTCCTTGGGGTTCTTCTCGTCCATGGACATGGCGCGTGTCTGGAACTAGGGTGTTTTCGAGAAAGAGGTTAAAAGAATAAAGTGAATTAAAGAAGAAAGCAATACGCAAGCGCAAAGTGGACGAGTGTGACGTGACGCCCTGGAATTACAAGCCCGGTACGACCCAAAAGCACGATGTCTGTGATCGACGAGGAGGGCGCACAGGCTTCCGCTGCGGAGCTGCTGAACACTTAGAGTTTTGCTGATCAGCGAAAATAAAAGAGGTGTCGGATGGAAAAGAAAGAAAAGCGACGACGAGGAAAATAAAACGCTGTCGGCCGAGAAGGGATGGGATGGGATGGTAGTAATGAAGAGAGGGAGGAAGAAGCAACGAGGGAGGCCTAGAGCTGATTCGACCGCTCTGATTAATCCTGCAAGTGTAACTGCTACCCCTGTTTACGTCGGGCAAGGTGATGTTCCCATTCAATTATGAATCTGGTTCCGATTCTGGTTCGAGGAGGGCCCAGAAGCACGGCGTTGTGGTTCTTGTTGGAGCTGCTTGGAAGATGCTCCTCACACCAAGCTGCATGCAAGTGCTCTCTACTACATCCGCCCCCTCGTGGTGCAGCATTTTTCAACATTTCCTTTTAATGTAACCCATCCTGTACCTCTCAAGCCAAGCCTCTAAGCTACCTGGGAGCTCGTAGTGCCGTACGGCGCAGCTCCCCGATCCCCGCCTGCATTTTGCAAGGTTTGCGCGGTCGGGGGGAGGGAGGGGATTGCAGGGTTACGAGGGGGGGACCCTGGATACTTTTTCTCGACCAGGGCCGACCCTCGCCTCGTCACTCTCGCCAACGAGCTCACCTCACACCCCCTGGCCACCGATGCACGCAACCTGGACCTCCAGTTCGAGAGCCGAGCATCGCCGTCTACGGACGGATAGGATGAGATGAGACCAGTGACAAGGTGAATGATGGATCCTCAGCTGAGGACTGGATCCAGGTGAAGGCGCAGAAACGGTGGGAACAAGAGACCAGTGGCCGACGTTGCCAGCATCCCCGTCGAGGGCCCCATTGAAAGCAGTCCCATTCATATCCGGCCGCATCGCAGGTGAGCCTATGATCGAGTCCCAAAGCCAAAGCCAAAGCCATCTGCTCCCATCTCGCCAGACCGGCCCGCTCTCCAGAGGGCGCGCGCGGGGATCCAGGCTGATGGTGGCGCTCTCTGCTGATTCTTATCTCCCCATCCACCGGAACGAGGTCCGTAATGTGGCGGCGTTGTTAAAAGAACGTCCACCTGAGAAACAGCAAACGGGTGCTGAGCCCACCAGCTGGTCCTGAACAAGAGTCATGATGCAGAATTTCAGGATTTTGTTAACCACAAAAAATGAGAGATAAAGTGCTTCGAAATCGTGTTCTCTGGGCGGGGGCAGTGCGACCGACCACATTACTGTTGGGGGCGCCATTTTTAATAACAGCAAGGCGGGCTTCAAGGAGCGTAGACGGGCAGCGCGGTATTTGCTGGACATGCCAAAGTGTCAAATTTACGCTTCTGCCGTCGAACGATATTAATCTTCTGCCCGGGTCAGAGGTTCGCACGACATTGTGTCGAGCAGAAACTTTCGCCTCGCCTTGCCTTGAAGCGAAGAGGCGGCACAGCAATAGACGCACCGTTTGGACGGGTTTGACAGATAACGTCCGCTCGTCTCTTCCCGTCCCTCCCCTCCATTCCCCTTCTCTCGCCGCAATTGACCAGTCAAGTCTTCTTTTGGGGAATTTGGAGGTGGTGTGCGGTCACTGTTTTTTGTCGGCCGCCATCTTTAGCTTCCAACGTTTCCATTCCTAGATGCAGCTTAAACAGCGACGACCCATGTTCATACGCCGCCGTAGCTTGTTGCACCATCCCTCTCCAGGGACCGAAAGCAATAGCTTAATGTTCTTTTGCATCCCGGCCTCCTGCCCCTTCGGATGGCACTCCGGACGGCATGATGGAAACCGTGGAAGCTTGAGAAGCGAAGGAAGAAGAAAAAGTTCGGAAACGAGACATGCGTGTTTTCCTTGGCGGAGGATGCCCAGTCTACACACGCACCCTGCCCCGATTTGCCTCAGCCAGAGACCACCACCACCGTAGAGAAGCGATGCACCTGTGCATTCGCGGCGGGGACCTCGTTGATCCCCCAAATAAGCACCCAGGCTTCTCGGCTTTTCCAATGTCACCTTGTAGAGGTTAGAGAAGAGGGAATCCACCCGGAGTGGCATCGCTGATTTCCTCCGCGCTCCGTGAATATGCGGTGCGGGCCCGTTCATTGGCCATGCAAGGCCATGCCAGTCTTGGCCGCGCACGACTCCCGCGGCCTGGCAAAACCCTATCAAATTGTTCGGAATTGGCGTGAAAGATGCATCCTTGCGATAGTTGAGACATTTGAGGATCGGGCTTTTCCTTTGGCAAGGCACCCCTCAGCTGCGATGTGCCTCGCACGCCAGATCAAATCACTCCCACGGCCCAAAAGATCCCTCCATCTCTCCCAGGTCCCCTACCTTACCCCGTCATCGACCACCACCCCCTCCTCCATCTAAAATGTCGTGACCCAGTCGGTAGCAGACTTGCAAAGAGGCTTACCGGAACTGCGGAAAGGTCGAGCGGGAAGACACCAAAAGCAACACTTGTCACTGGCCCAGCTGCCTTATTCGTGGTGGATAAGGTGATCTCCCAGCCAGCAGCACACAGAAAGGAGCAGGGCCAGAGGTAATAAAGATTAAAGCGGCTCCCCCCAGTCCCCGTCGATTCAACGCCCTCGTGGAGCTGAACGGTTCTTCGGCCTCTCCACCATTGTTTGTCCCTTGCTTCCCAAATCTGCAGGCTAGGCTTCTTCTTTACCAGTCCGCCGGCGCCTCCTTCAAAGTCCCCTTACTTGTTGGCTTGATTTATTCACCTCTGGTCCCTTCGCTGATTTCCTCGCGCGTGTTGGTTGTTGTCTTGTAAAGTTTGTTCATGTCTTGAAGCCACACAACGTGTGCGGCTCTTCTTTCCCATCGGTTTAGTCTACTGGGTCACAAACGGCAGCTACCCGCAGCACGTTACGCCATGGGCTGGGTATTGAACGCCACTCCCGAGGTCGAGGCCATCTCGCAATGGCCGACCATCATCGCCATCTGCACCGTCTTGTCGGTGCTGTCGGTCCTCATCGTGGGGTCTCGAGTGTACATCCGGCACACCGCCAGAGGTCTGGCTTCGGATGACTGGATGTCTCTGCTTTCGGTGGTTTTTGCCCTCGCTTACTCTGGTCTTACCATCGGTCGTAAGTACACACAGCTGTCATCCTCATAAGCATCTTCTGACGATTACAGAAACGAGATATGGTCTCGGTTTGCCCATCAAGCTCCGTCCCAAAGCGAACTTGATTCAGTACACGCGCATCAACTTTGCTGGCCGCCCCATCTATCAGATTGGGATCAGCTTCTTCAAGATTGCGCTCTTGATCAGTTACCTGCGCCTGCTCAAAGGCACCGATCAGAAGAGCTACCGGCGGGTAGTCTGGATGACCATCATCATCGTGTTTATTGCCCACTTGGGATGCGCATTTTCCCTCGTTTTTGCATGCACTCCTGTAAGAAAATTCCATACCACTACGATTGCACATTACTAACTTTCTCCCGATAGGTTGCCAGGTCATGGAACCCGACACTCCCTGGCACATGCCTGGCCCCGGGCCCGTCTTTCACCGCGTACGCCGTGGTCACCATCGTCTCTGACGTTGTCGTGGCCCTCCTCCCCATCCCGGTGCTTCTCAAGCTCAACATCCGCTTGGAGAAGAAGGTCGGTCTCATCGCCATTTTCCTGCTGGGTCTCTTCACGACGCTCTGCTCGATTCTTCGCTACCTCGAAATCAACCGCATCCAGTTTGGCGACGGAAACTCGACAATGCTGGTATTGTGGGGAACCATCGAGTTCAACGTTGGTGTAAGCAATTGCCAAGCCCCGGTTGTTCGTCTCATAATGCTAACGAGCGGCACAGAACATCGTCTCCTCGCTCCCCTTCCTCGCGCCCGTGTGCATGAAGAAGGCGAAAGACTACCGCTCGAAGTACTCTGGCGGCTCCTCCCACGGCCGCAGCGGCATGAAGCACGCCGAGCGGTACAAGCTCAGCGACATGAACCACGACAAGAGCGTCTTCGCCTCGGCGAACCACAGCAAGGGCGACAACGGCAGCGAGGAGAACATCCTCCCCGGCAACATTATGAAGTCCGTCACGTACAGCGTCCAGGTCGACGACAGAGTACAAGGCAAAGGGTCCACACGAAGGAGGGACTCGAAAGATTCGGTTTGAGTTTGGACGGAATGATTTTACGGTTAACACAGCGGCTACGGCACAAAACATAAAAGATGTACATGATAATGTGTAAGGGTATTAGAACAAGAATCGAGACATCGATAGATCTACAAACAGGCGTTCGGGGGCCATTTTACCATCATCATCACGAGTTTCAATTTTTGTGAGCGATCACTTCCCATCGGGGGGACTCCAAAGTCCGACCCCAGAGTTGGATCTAGACGAGGGAATCCTCAGTATCACCATCTTCCCGTCAGCGAATGCGACTCTCGATCGGAAATCATGAGCAGTTAAAATAGGGGACATGGCCTGCACGGGCTGCTGATCGCTCTCCACCAGCCAACTGGGGCACAATTACGTGGCTCATGCTCATGATTCAATTCCCCTCCAGATCCCACTTCACGAGGAACATATGGGGAGTCGAACGATGGGCAATGCAAATCTTTTCCCACTCTTCATTCCCAAGAATGCGGTGTACGCGATGGCCACGGCGATGCACGTCTATTAATCTAAGGTGGTATCCTGAGTCTATCCTGAACATATCTTACTCTTCATCAAAGTGAAGCTTCATCTCCCGCTTGCTGAGGAGCGGGCTCGTAGGGCTAATCTTGGGCCAGTCGTGCGCGTCCAGACAGGCCCGCCGCGACGCCAGCACGCCGGGCCGCGCCCTGGCGACGACGGCATCTTCGTAGACGTCCATGGCCGCCCTGAGCTCCGGGAA